GTGTGTGCGTGCGTGCGTACGTGTGTGTGTGTGTGTGTGTGTGTGTGTGTGTGTGTGCGTGCGTGCGTGCGTACGTGCGTGCGTGCGTGCGTGCGTACGCACGCGCGCGTATGTATATGGCATGCATGCGTGCTGCCAGCGTATGCCAGCATTTCTTACTTTCAGTCACGTTCACGCTCATTATCCCGCAACGGTGTTCAAGTATATGCATGAATATTTAAAATTCTTGCGCCACCGATCTGGGCCATTGTGTTGTACGATTAGTCAGTCCGGGTTTTTGCTGGGCAGGGCTTTATTTATATGCGTACGTCTAAATGGCTCCGCGTGCTTGCACTACACTGTTAGTTCAATGACGCAATGAAGGCTACGATTAGCCCGATGGGGAGGAGGGGAGTCGATGGGATATCGGAGGCGTAAATTCAAATAAACTGCCAAATGAGAAACTGAAAAATGCGCGAAGTGACATGTTGGCGATTATCGTAAATGTTGTGAACGCAAAGCGCGAGGCAAACGTGCGTGCATCTCTCTCGTGTCGTGTCGCCGGCGTGAAATATTCCTAGTGGCTAACAGCATGTTTACTTATACACGAAGAGCAGCTCAACACTGGCTTCGTACTGATATAATGGCATCGAAAATATTGTTACTGCAGCTGCGTTACCTGCAACGTCAATGTGTGCACGAATCAGCACGATGTTACCACGCAGAAACGCGCATTGCATACAATGGATCTATATTGTACCGGAATGATTTATCTCAGTCATTACTGTGGCCCTGACCTCAACATTCACAAACCCAGTAGCATTCTTCAAAATCACGCAAAATAATTCTTTTATTAATTTATAAGTGCCCCTGCGAAAAGTTGGCCCACGCCAACCTCTCGCCATTTTTAATTGAACCTCATGTTGAAAAACGTACCGAACTCAAATTAATGTCGAAAATTACACCTTTTCAAATAGTCGAAACTAACAATATCGGACTACCTGATCTGGTTTCACAGGCGAGCTACGTTGCCAATAATCCCAATGCACGCGATACAGCTAAACAATCAGCGGCTAAAAGGCTTTTACGACAATGCTATATAGTCGTATTTGAGGTTTTCAGCGGATAGCACACAAAGCTTATTTCCATCGCGGCTGCTGAGCGGAGATTGGTACAATTATTGGCAGGTTGCCAAAAGCAGTGTTCAGCGTGAACTGTATGGAGTTCATGAAAATTTAAATATAGTTAGGCTAGTCAATGTGACACAATGCTTTCAGTGTCTCTGTATTTCTCTCACTTTCTACATCGCATAATCTGGCGCGCTTTCTTGACCTCCCGCGTTTTTTCTCTGGCTCGCTTTCCCTCCCTCCCTATTTCATTCCTTCACTCGCTTTCTCGCTCTCTTTCTCTCTGTCTCTCTGTCTCTCTGTCTCTCTGTGTCTCTCTTTCTCGCTCTCTTTCCACATCTTTCTCGCTTTCTCACTCTCTTTCTCTCTCTCTCTCTCTCTCTGTGCGATCATACATGATGGCGAACGCAGCAATTTCTGTTTTTCAAACCGTAATGAATTGCGCATCGAAGGAAACGCGTTTCCTTCGAACAATCTTCGTAAAGTGATTACGGATTGTGTTATTATTATACAGGAGATTAAAATGCATGTGCCTTGAGCCATATGCATGTTTGAATATGTAACCTGAATGCAATAATCACGGCGTGCAGTATCCCTCTCCAATAACGACAAAGCTAGTCTTCCGGCAGCCGCTCATGCCGGAAGGGAATGAGTAAATATATACTCATCAACGTCAACATCACAGCCGCCCCTCGCAGTGACTGTTGACACGTTGTCCTCTCCACGCACGCAGCGAGAAAGATTTACACGAAACATTTATTTGCTTTCGTTGTTTTACAGTATAAACATTTCACGTTTTTTCGTATGTGTTGCCCGTAGCAACGCATATATGGGATACGTCATCAAATACAACTCGTCACAAATCTATAGCTATGAAGTGCTTTCCTTCCTGGTTTCCCGGTTCGTATCTTTCGTGTGGCGCATGTAGGCCTACTGTTTCACACCAGTTTATTCGTAGTGTTTTTAAGTGAGAAAGTATCTTCAAAAGCATGTATCGTAGATAGCATTAGACATATGTGTGGATTATACTTTATATGTTTAGATTGATTAGAGAGAGAGAGAGAGAGAGAGAGAGAGAGAGAGAGAGAGAGAGATTGTCTTGTGTACAATAAATGCTACTGTTTTCGCTGATTATCGTTTACTGCTAAATTACTGCATCATGCGCGGTATTCTGACGTTACTTACGATAAATTCCAACACGCACGAACATAAGCATCTGACATTTTCATGCTGCAGATAATGTCACATAGTCCGAATTTAATGCTATTTTAACCCATCTTCGGAAATTATCTATCGGATAGGCGATCCGGAATACAATGGGTTTGATGTTTATCTTGAGATGTAAACAAGCAAAATGTTAAGGGTGACGATTCAAAACGAATCCGTAGCGAATTTATTTTTACATGGACTACTATATATGTAGTGATAATGCAATCGAGTGCAGCTTTTTTTCAAATTGCAGGTATATGAAAAATGCATCACATTCTTCAACGTTCTCTGACGTGAAAAGTGATCAAATTTTGACTTCGAAACGCTTACTTTATTGAATTTCAGCAACGAGTTTCTCCAAATTGAAGTCGATGGATGCCTAGTCATGTACATGATTAATCAACATGAAAGCATGTTATAAATTTATTAGAAGATTTTAAAACTTTTATCTGTACACGATATGCCCGGAAATATCCGACAACAATTACGTAAAGTAGCGATGCAACATTGACTGATAGTACCTCATACCGTGGAGGGATATAAAAGAAATGATTCATAGATGCATGGGAAAGGGTTTGTGTGCTTGCTTGGCGGAATGGCTGCCACCCAGTTCTAGTCTGGGTGCGTGGCGGAATAAGTGAACGATAAAGCGGATAAAGCGTCACGTCTATATTTATTATTCATTAAAATAATGCAACGTGAGGCAACCGAAGACGGCAACCGAAGACGGTTCCGACCAGGAGAATGAGAGAGAGGGAGAGAGAGAGAGAGAGAGAGAGAGAGAGAGAGAGAGAGAGAGAGAGAGAGAGAGAAAGAGACGGACGGCCTACAGTACTTTGTGTGTGTGTGAGAGAGAGAGAGAGCGAGAGAGAGAGTGTGTGTGTGCGCGCGTGCGTACGTTCGTGCGTGCGTGCGTGTGTGCGTGCGTGCGTGTGTGCGTGCGTACGTGTGTGC